TTTTCAAGTGACAGGTTTTCTCTTTCCTTCTTTCTCACAGTTACCATCATGGTCGCTAAGGATTTATTAAAAGTTTCACCCAATAAAAGCACCATTCTATCTCCCTATTCTGCAAAAAAACCCACCAAAACCATCCTGTCTGTCTCTCAGTCCTCAGGCATCTATTTCCCAAACACTGCTGGTCTATAAAGAGGAACAATCCAGATCAACTGATTTCTAATATTTTAAAGACATAAATGTATCCTCATTGACTCAATACTATTAACAGCACAGGAAGTCAGATTATGGGTCTTTTTTGAGCCTAAAATGGGTCTTTTTTGAGTCTAAAAAATCAGGCTTTCATTTTTAGGATCCATCTCAGAGATCAAATGTTCTCTTTTTTCACTAACAACTGACAGCCAATTAAAAGAGCAAACAGCTTCCCTCCATCTGGGAAGACCATCTGAGGTAGTTCTAACTACTGCTGTAGTAACCTGAGCTTCGAACCTGACATAATGGCCCCTTTCCCCGCTGGAATTTCATTACCTAAAGCACAGGCCAGCAATCACAAGTAATGAAAAGGAAATGTCAATCTTTAGTTACAGCTCCCCTGAAAAACACTTCAGCTGTAACATGAATAGCCCACAGTTACACGTCTACAAACTCCCTTTTCTCTCCTCCTTAACCCAGCTGCATTCTCCAGCACACCAAAGATACCCCGGAACTGTGTTAGCTATTGATACTTACTCTTAAATTAATTACAACTAAGTAATTGAAAATGTCAGTTTTTCAGTCACACAATCCACCTTCCAAGGGCTCACGTGTGGCCGGTGACTGCCCATTGGACAGCACAGATCTGAGAACATTTCCAACATTGCAGGGACAATGCTAATCTAGAGAAAGCCTCCTCTTCCAAACTTTAAAATTCTCTATAGCCCTGGCTGTGTGGCTCAGTGGATTGAGCCCCCGCCTACAAAACGAAAGATCACTGGTTCAATTCCCAGTCAGGCCACATGCCTGGATGGCAAGTCAGGCAACCGACCAATATTTCTCACCCTCTCCTTCTCCCTCCCTTCCCTTCTGTCTAAAAATAAATAGAATCTTTAAAAAATTCTCTATAAAAAAGAAGCTCGCTTTGTTTTTTATTTTTTCACCCCAACGCTCCCCAGCAATCTCTTCATTATGCAAATTAGCTCGGCCTCTATTTTTCATCTTCACTTAGTCTGTTACCAGACTCCCCATAACTAAGACACCCAAGGAACCAACACAGCCAGAGTGAATTCTCTCCTGCAAGGCTTTCTCTCAACTCTGTAATGTACAGAGCACTCGCTTGGTATATCCAGCGGGCTATATACAGGACAACTCACATATTGGCAAGTCTTGCCCCAGGGCACTGCCCGCGTTTGCTAGTCTTCACTAAACTCTGGTAGTAGTAGCTACACAGTTTAAATAGACTGTCAGGTGCTTCCCACGTGTAGCATAGGACCACTGGCTGAATTGTACAGAAAAGTAGGTGTTAGTACTAATGACGAGAGGGGGTGAACGATTCCCCAAGTTTCTGTGAGTTGTCAGGCGGTTTGTGTGCTAATCATTTACCTCTCTGCTCTCACACACATTCCATGCCTGCAAACCTTGCCAACTGGCTTCCATCAAGGTTTGGTTAATGGAAAACTCTGGCGGGAGAACAGAGAACAACAGAGGGGAATGCCAGGCTATCCCTGCCTCCCTCTCAGGCAGCGTCTGCAGCACTACCTGCGTCTCTGCTGCCTTTCTGGTTCCCACTGGGGAGGCCCTCTGTCCGTGGATCCAGCTGCTGCTAGATGGCCCGGCTGTTGGGTTCTCCTTTGTCCCTGTTCAACAACTGGCTCTGCAAGGGGAGGGGAGGGAAAAGAAGCCCTGATTTGAAATGTTTGCCTATGTCTGCGGCGTGGAGACTCACATTCGGGCTTGCACAATTCCTCAACATTTAGTTACTGGCCCAACACTCACGAGCCTATGCAAGCCGGTTTCCACACACCCTGCTCACCCCTGTGCAACGAAGCAGGTTCCCTTGTTAATCTCTGGGTTCCCTCACAGTCCCTCTTAGTTTCTCTGCCTTTCTAACTCTGTGGTTACTAGTTGGCTGCCTGAATTAAATTCTATTCTCTACCTGGCATGAGCTCTGTTTTCCTGACTGTATCCTGAAGGTATTTTGTGATGAATGTAAAATTTATCAGAAGAGCTTCTCAAAGTACCAGAATACAAACCAGCCATATCACTAAGCCCACTGGGCGTTCAGCTGACAAGACTGTTTTTAAAGAGTGAAGGCTTTCCAGGTGAAGGAAGCAGTGAATCCAGACACACTGTGGCACAAGTTTCTTATCTCACTGTGCGTTGGCAACAAAGCGTGTGTGTGGACGCGCTGCTGGGGGCGGTCCACGCTTTGAGTGACACTGTAATAGAGCACTTTGGAAAAGCAATTGGGCAATGTGTATCAAAAGGCCCACCAGTGGCCTATCCTTTGTCTCACTAGCTCCACTTTGACAGAATCTCTCCCAGGGACTCATCTCAGAAGAAGGGAAAAGCCTCCAACAGGTGTGAGTTGGTATCTCACTGTGGTTTTGATTTGCATTTCTCTGATGATTAGTGACATTGAGCATCTTTCACATGTCTGTTGGCCATCTGAACATCCTCTTAGGAGAAATGTCAATCAGGTCGTTTTCCCACCTTTAAATTGGACTGTTTGGGGGTTTTTTGTTGTCAAGTTTTGTAAGTTATTTATAAATTTTGGATATTAACACCTTACCAGATGTATTCCACTTCTGAGAATATTTCTAAGAAACCTGAAACACTAATTTGACAGAGTATGCACCCTATGCTCATTGCAGCATTATTTGTAATTGCTAAGATATGGGAGCAGCCTAAGTGCCCATCAGTAAATGAGTAGATAAAAAAGCCATGGTATGGTGCCATAATGGAATACTACTCAGCCATGAACAAGAAGGAAGTCTTACCTTTGAGACAGCATGGATGGACCTGGAGAGTATTACACTACTCTCTGGTCAGAGAAATAAGCCAGTCAGAGAAAGACAAGGACTATATGATCTCCCTTATATGTGCAATCTAATCAAAATAAACTAACAAATAAAATAGAAGTAGATTCATAGATAGAGAACAGACTAACAGCTGTCAGAGGGGAGGGGGTTGGGGACTAGGTAAAAAAAAAAAAGTGAAGGGATTAAAGAAACAAAAAACCCACCTCATAGACAGACAAGAGCAAAGGGGTTGGGAGGTAGGATAGGGTAAATGGGGGCAAATGGTGACGGAAGGAGACTTGACACAATAAATATACAAATGATATATTGTAGAACTGTACACATGAAACCTACATAATTTTATTAACCAACGTCACCCCAATAAATTTGAGAAAAATAAAATAAAGCCTCATGCACAAAGATGTTTAGTGCAGCATTATTCAAAATAGGGTATTTCTGGAAGTAACCTCAAATTAAAAAAATAGAAAAATGATTCATTTAATCCATTCGATGGGATATTATATAGCCTTAAAAATTATAACTATGAGTATCATAGCACTAAGGGAAAAACATAGTACTAGGTAATAAAATCAGGAAAGGAAATTTTACATACATGAGAAGACTGAAAAGAAATATGTACCAAAAAAAAAATCACAGAATTATGTAAAGAGGGTATTAGGAGATTTTTTCCCCTAATTTTCAGAGTGACTTTTTTCTGATGTAGAAATTCCACTTAGTTTTGTTAATAAAAAAAAAATGAACCCCACTAACAAAGTCAATAAGGACATTTAGAAGGAAAAAAAAACATTACACATTAAGGTACCTGTGAGTGCTGTTTTAGAATACAAGGTACCTGTGAGTTGAGAACACAAGCCTGAAGTTAAATTAAGATCCCAAACCTTCCCATCTGTCACCCATCCCCCCACGCACAGTGTCTCCTCACCTGGCTGCACCTGCTCACCAGCCTCGGTCACACCTCCCTCCCAGAGAAGTGGCTTTGACCACTTAGGTACAAACCAGCAAATGTGCTGTCCCTAGAACCTTCCAGCCTTCTTCCTACTGTGAAGTGGAAGCCTTGCCCCCTAGATGAAGGAGCACATTCCAACCATTTGCAAAGAGGTAGGAGTCTTGAACATTCAACGAGTTTGTCCTCAGGGATCCAAAAAAGGTCATTGTCTCCTCTTTCTTGACTCAGCAGGGCTTCAAACCTAGATCCAAATTCCACCGACTACCTGGCTCCCCTAGAGCGGATAAGAGCTGTTTACTCTGCTGCACCCCCTGCTTCTCCCTAACGCCCCATTCACTGCAGGCCTGATCTTCAAAAGCATAGCTTAATTAGACCAGGTTTCTAGAAGCAAAAAAGGAAAAAACTAAAAACTTAAAATCCAGTGCTCATCCAATTTGTTCCAACTTTTGAATAAACAAAACCCAACTGCAGAATTCAACCCACAACATTACCACACAAGCCACCCAAGACTACACAGGTGCCCACCATTACGATAAAAGAACAATGAAGAGCCCAGGGCTCCGGAGCTCCACTACCTGGGTACAGACATTAGCTTGTCTCTGTCCAAGCTCAAAGATCCTCGACAAATCCTTGACCAATCTGTCTCTGTTTCCTCATAGGATTGTTGTGAGGACTTAGTTATTTTTACATAAAGCACTTAGAACCATGCCTGACACTCGGTAAGTACCCACTAAAGGGTAATTAATATTAAGTTCTCAAAAACACTGTGGACAAAATGTGGTCCCTGAAAGGCAGTCCTCCCTGCCCGTCCTCAAGGCCACCGTGTCCACCATGACCACACAAACCAAAGATAAATGTCAACATATCCACGGCACTAAAACAGCCGCATCGCAACCTCACGATGCAAGCAGAATCATGATCATATTCATTTCTAGATTTTTGCGTCTTATCAAAATAAATCACCAAAAGACGAAAAATGTCAAATATCTCTGAACCCACCCTCCAGCCACGCCTCGGTCCATCGGCGGGGACAAGCCTACCTCGAACCACTGCCCATGGGACTGCATCTTGAGGATGACACAGGGGTCTGGTTTGGACAGCGCGTCTCGGTCGGAAATGCCTTTGCAGGCCACCCGCAGCTCAACTTTGGTCAAGCAGGGGCTGTTAAAGATGCCCAGGGTATTGGCAGCCGACTCATAAATGTTGCTCATCTTCTTCATTCTGTTTTAGGCAAGAAAAGGAGGAAAAGAGACATGCCAATCACCACAGTGTTTGTCAAAGGATAAAGCCTCTCAGTCACCACTTAGCAACTTGTTCTACACACAGCTTCAAATATTGACTATTCACACTATCTCATATCCTACCCAGTGGCACAGCTCCAGTGAGGTAAACCAATAAAAAACAAACAAAACACTGAAACAAACAGAAAAAAAACCTTCAACAGGTGTTGGTGCACTTAACTAAGAACAGTTTTCCTATATGATTTGTATACATCTGCACAGTAAAATTTTTAGTCTGTGAAATAAAATTCATGAATTAGTGCAATAGACTGCGAAGTGTAATCCAGTTCTCCATGAAGGGCATAGATTGTGTGAAATGTTACAGGCTTGTTGCTTAATCAGTTGAATCACTTTCCAAGTTTTTAAGGCTCCCCCAAATCCAGCTCTCCTTTTTTCTTCTATATGAGGGCACAGAGAGGTACGCAGCCCCACCTGAAGAAACTGTCCAAATTTCCCTTCCCTAAACTCTGATCCACCTTCTCAAGATGCCCTCGGCAAGTCAGCTCCAAGGGAGAGACCCAGAATCTGATTTCCTGCCCCAAGTGCCCAAGTCCATTCTCACCTTTCCCTTTCCAGCTCCTACCTGCAACATCAGGATTCAGAATCAGAAGGGGGAAAGCAGGAGGATGACTGGTGGGGGAAGGAGAAAGCACAGAGCCGCTGATCCTGGACTCAAGCCAACAGCAGCCACACTTAAGCACTGCAGGCCCCACCCCATCTCCATGTTATAACCTTTCAATAACTCTTAGCATCAGGAGGTTCAGGGCTACAGGGATCCCCCAGAGGCCCTTGCCTCCTTCTCTGAGGGAGACCGGACCTGTAAGGACATTGAAAGATTCTCTCAGGAGCGAAATTCAATATCCTTCTCATGGAATTCGGTGTCCTTGTAGATTCCTCAGGAACACCAGCAACAGCGTCCTCAACCTCACAAGGCACTACTTCCCTACAGGGGAACCTTGTCATCTATAAAATGAAGACAATCCCTCTACTAAGTGCCAGCTCACTGTTAACTAGTTTCTTGTTGCTACAGTCAGAATCTTTGTGTCCCCTCAAAATTCAAATGTTGAAATCCTAAGGCTTGAAGGCGGTGGTATTAGGACAAAGAGCCTTTGGGAGGTGTAATTAGGTCATAAGGTAAGAACCCTCATGAATGGGATTGGAGCTCGAATAAAAGAGACCCAAAGAGTTCCCCGGGCCCTTCCACCAGGTCGGGATACAATGAAAAGTCTGTGACCCAGAAGAGGACCCTTACCTGACCATGCTGGCACTCTGATCTTGAACTTCCAGCCTCCGGAACTGTAAGTAATAATTTTTTATTGTTTGTAAGCCACTCAGTCTGTGATATTTTGTTATAGCAGCTTGAATTGGATTTGAATAAAGGGCTGCAGACCCAGAGAAGAGAAGAGAGAGAGGGCATATCTGTTCCCAATCCCTACTCTGATCATAAGCTGTGGCCACGTCCCTACATGACCCAGGTCCTGCCAGGCGACTCCATCTCCAAGGGCACAGGTCTCACTGCACTCGGGGAACTGTTTCCTCCTTGGCTCCTTCAGGCTTATTAGTAAAAGCTTTCTGCAAGTTTTAAATTGAGCATTCTAGAAGATTCAGATGCACTCAATTAACTAAACAGGGCAGAAAGGAAGTGAAGGAAGATGCGAGGTGATCTCAGCAGGGGTCTTGCTTCAGCATGGTTCCAAGGGAGGCCCTGGCACAGGCAATGCACCACGGGATGGTCCCACCTGAAGGAAAGGGCTCCAGCCTCTTGTAGTCATGCTAGGGAAGCAGAAACACGTAGGTTTGGTCCCTCCCTTCCATTGGCTGAGAGCAATCAGCCAATTCTCCAGAAAGGAGCAGCTGTGAGCCATTAGCCTCTAACATGGCCATTAGGAGGAGATGAATGGATTAACTTGATAAAGGGGATCTGGACCGAGTTTGAACAAGGCCTGTTTCACCACAGTAGCTATTCATATACATGTGAACTCCTTTAGATCAGGGACTACTTCTTACACTTTACTGCATTCCCAGTAGTGTTCAACTACTTGATAATATTGTAGACTGATGATAAAACCAACACAACCATCGCTTCTGGAGGAATATGGCACAGGAAAGAAATGTGGGGATACTGAAAATAAAACTCCCAACTTTCCACTATGACTCCTGGCTTACCTCCCTGTCCAGGCACAAATGAGAGCCCTGACCAGACATATCAGAGTTCATGAGTTCCTCTGGCTGCTGAGAGGTACCAGCAGTCCTGACCTTGACTTTGGAGGTAGTACTTGGGCCAGTGAAGTCAAATTGTTTGGCCTTGGCCCAGCAGAAGCTCACTGCCGAAAGGTGATCACAAAAAAACGGCTCTGTCAACGAGTGATGAGCTACCTCTAGCCCCAGATAAGTGAAGTAAACAAGTAATTTCACACTCTGTTAGAGAACAGGATTAAAATATGGCCAGATTATCAATACATTTTCCATGGCCTATTTAAATCCTATTTGTTGTCTTTCATAAAATATCCTGGTTTTACAGAGACTAATGTCTTTTGAGAATTATTTTGATGAAAGCTGACTTTTGGCCAATTTTAGAAGCAAATTATAATTGCCCTTTCACTCAGATAATTTAAGTTATAAAAAAAAACCTACTTCAGCATATCCACACTCTCTAACAGGACAAACTGATCCTGAAACTTAATTAGCTTCTGAATGAGTTGCAAACAGTGCCAAGACAACAGAGAGCTCAGGAGGGAAGAGTTCACAGGGGAACCAATTGAGCAGACCTTGTCTTAAAGCTGTGTTAAGAATAAGTGGGTAATCGCTGTTCTGCTTGCTTTGGCATCCTCTGGCCTTTCTAAATGTCGAAGCACATCCAGGGACGGCTGGTACACTCGATGTCTCTATCACAGAATATTTCCACCTCAACTCAAGAAATATGTATGGGATACGTTTTATGCCTGGTCCTCTGCTGGAAGTTGGCAGCCCTGAGCATCCACTCACTCAGCTGAAGATAAACCAGTTGTCATTCAACCAGGATGTGTCGGTTTATTTCATAATCAACATGCCTTGATCTACTTTTGGATCAAGTGTCAACCTCCAGGGTGACAAATGCGATGCTAGACCCTCTAAAGAATGGGGACATGAATGAGACACAGTCTATGCGCGGACAGGTTCACACTCTGAAGCGCTGCTTCTCAGACTTGAACATGGTGGTGAATCACCTGGGGAGCTTGTTAAAATGCAGTTCCTATTTCAAGAGTCTGGGGTGGGCCTGAGACTCTGTTCCCGGGCGGCCTGTGGACCACAGTGTGAGTAGCTAGGGTGTTGGGTATAAACCGAGCACCTATAAAAGAGGACAAGTGGCCCCAGAGTTTATCTTAAGATCAGACACTCATATACGAGATGCAGGATGGCACCGAAGATCAGAGTAGGACCTAGCACCACAGCATTTGAGGGCAACCCAAGCTCTGCTACTATCTTGTTACATGACTTTGGCCAAGTTACGTGAATCATCTGTGCCTCAGTGTATCATGTGTGGAATGGGGATAATAACAGTTCCTCCCTTGCAGAGGTTTTTTTTAAAAATTAAATCAATTAATCCTCACAGAGTCTGCAGAAGAGTGCCTGGTTCATAGTAAACACTTGATAAATGGAAATCATTATTGTACTTTAAAAAATGGCACCGCTGAGTTCACATTTATCAACTTCTCACGTACCCACCAAGCGCTGAACATTAAGGCGCCGGACCCCCCAGAGACTCCTCCCGCTGATCCTCAGGGTCACCCTACGGAAGCCTGGTTAGGCTGCCCGTTTCACAGGGACGAACTTCAGCGTAGAGAAGGGTACAGCTGCACGTGGCTACCCAGCTACAGCGTCACAGGGCAGGATTTGAACCAGGAACCGCAGGTCCAGAATGTAGGCCCGCAGCCACTCCGCTATTCCTGCCTCCCTGTGAGACAGGGACTGAAGAAGACTTTGATAACACCGACAACCGGAGACTTTCAGCACACAACACTTCCAAAATTTTCTTGACCCACCTGGCTCCCCTGAATGTTGCACTGCAGCGACCCCTCCTTCCCTCCCTGTCTGTCCCGCAAAACTTCCAGCACCCTTCCCTCTCAATCCTCTAGACTTTTATATGACACTTTTTAGTATTTTTCTTTTATAAAGAGTCCGTTATTTTGTAAATTCATCTGCCCACTAGGTTTCTTTCCACTCACAACTTTAATCATTGCTTATTCTGCTCAGCCCCGCCCCCACCCCTAGCTCCCGGTTGGGCAGTACAAACGCCCACTCTTCCCAAGAGAGTGGGAGAGGAAGGAAAGCTATGAATATTTATACATTTTGTCCTCATTAAGCATATAATGTTCTATAAATTTCTTTTAAAAATAGCTTGCTCTGGGCCCTGGCAGGTGTGGCTCAGTGGAACGAGCACCAGCCTGCAAACTGAAAGGTCGCCGGTTCAACTTCCAGTCACGGCACATGCCTGGGTTGCAGGCCAGGTCCCCAGTGGGGGACGTGCGAGAGGCAGCCAAGCGATGTCTCTCTCACACATCGATGTTCCGCTCCTTCTCTCCCTCCTTCCCCTTCTCTCTAAAAATAAATAAAAATAAAATCTTTTAAAAAATAGCTTGCTTTCTTAACTGCTAATACTCACTACACTAAAAACAGACCCGAGACAGTCTCTTGTGATAGGAGCTGTCAGCCCCATTTCACACACATAAAAAATAAGACTGATAGTGAATAACTTGCCCCAAAGCCATAGCTGGTAAGTAAGAGGACCAGCAAGGGAGCCTGGGTCCAATGAACTCCGAAACCCGTCTTTTTGGCCATATCTTATAAAATGATTCACATTCTTAATTTGCTTAACAGTAACTTTCTAGATCATGCAAAGGCAAACTTCAACCCCATTCCAATCTTAATAAACTGCAAAGATGTGGTAAGGGCATGATAGTT